GCACTAACACTACTGCTACATATATATACACATAAACATATATACATTCATCCATGCATACATATTCATTCATCTCCCTGACTGTTTGTCTCTATATCCTTTTTTGGTCTTTCCTGTCTGAATTTGTAATTTTTCGTCTACGTAGATATATGTATATATATATAGCAACCAATTTACAACTGAGTTTATCACTAAAAATAACTTTTCATTTTAGATTTACAAAAAAATAAAAATAATAAATTCACACACTCTTCACTCTAGCACCATTTTGTATATGTATATATATATATCTATATATATATATATACCTACATATACATGCATACATACACATATATACGTATATATATATATATATATATATAGATTTATACATACATGCATACATATATTTAATATACGTAGTTTATGTTGCTGAGAGTACACTTGATCCGTATGTTACATGAACGAAAAATAAGAAAAAAATAAAAAATCTACTTTTCACTTAGTTCACTATTCAGGCGGCAACTATTACATCTAATACTGTCTACAGTTACTAAGTGCCAGGAGGAGAAAATGAAAACCAATATGTTGCAACTTTTTCAATATAATACTTTGTTCGCTTTTTCATTTATTTCATTTGAACGTAAGCTAACCCGATGCGGGCGAGTCTCTCTATCTGTACGCTCTAGTTAAAGATATTTATTACAAATCAAAAGATTTTCGAGAATAAAATTTAAAAAAATAAATTACTTTTGCATTAAAAGTATTGCAAAAGAAAATTTAAAACTTGATGCAAATTACATAAAAAATGCATTAAAGGAAATATTAATTAAGATTAGAATATAACTTATTATAATAAACAAATTAAGGATAATTTTCCCCTTTTTGGATGAATCATTAAACGCCCTTTAACCGATCTGGACTTGTGCTAAAGTTTTCTATGGCACCAGAGAGAATATAAAAAGTGCATATTTAATCAATTCGTTGCCAATTCGTTTCGTTCTATAGAAATTTTATAAAATGCGAAATCGATGACTTAAGGATCCTTTATAATTAATAATAAAATAATTTATAACTAAAATTTGTTTCCTTTACAACTCATCGATTGATATAAACATTAAAATTGTTATGAGTGTTGTAACCTAATTTCATGAAATCGGAATTTCAAAAATTTTTGGGCAAACAATGAAAGCAGAAAGAAAAATACCCTTCGAAATATTTTATAAACATTATATAATCCTCAAGGGGATGAATCAAAATTTCTCGTGACAAATAGAAACAATAAAATTGTGACCACCTTATGGAAGTCAATATCGAATAAACTCGACCATAACTACATCTTACATCACTTGCGAAGTGTATTAAGTTTGTGCAGACGAATGTAACACCCTAAAGCACTTAAAACATATGCACGGTTTATTGTCTGTCCAGCTATCCGTCTGATGTTTGTATCTTGTGGGTGTTGATGCATTTTTGCACTCAACATAAAGGTTGCAATTTTTGAGATATTTTCATGAAATTACAAGCATTGCACGCATTGCACGCATTGCACACAGTAATAGTTTACCCTTATTTGAAGAATGAATAGTCTGAGCGCTTAGATTCAATATATTATTTAACATTTGATCCGAATATTAATTCTATCTACCTAAGTATTCTGGGGTGAAGGGTTTGTGTTATTAACGCTTAAAAAGTGTAAAGCAGTTTCCATCCAAAAAGAATCCCAAGACGTTTTTGTTTTAATTTTTTATTGTACCCTGAACCACTTGCGGTACAAGGACATATTAAGCCTGCGCGGAATGTGCAAAACACAAGTCGCAATTTTTGAGGTATTTTCGTGAAATTTCCTACATCAACCTAATTTCATCCAAGAACGAATGCTATTGAAAACGGTTCGAATCGGCTCACTGTTTTGACCACTCCCCATGTAATGCTTTATTTCGGAAATTGGTTCATATACAGAAAAAAAATCAACGGTAGCAAATGTGGATCGGATAGGTCTATTTTTCAGAGGGAAGATCCAAATTATAGTTTATTTTATGATGGTAACTGAAAAATAGTTTTTGGTAAGTAAATAAAGTTCGGGGAATTTGGATCAAGTCATGTGACATTTTGGACGTTCTTCAATACCTTTGAATAACTGTATTAGGCAAATTAGTTAACGTTCGGCTTTGTCTAACTATAATGTTCTCATTTGTTTTTTCGTTTGGCTTTATAGTACTCGATTATCGAGTCAATGTATCGAGTAGTTTGTTAACGGCAATCGACAGGATAGATATTTTCCTTACTGTCGATTGGGAAATTTCTCGATCAAAAAATTGTTGTCAAATTTAAAGGGAAATTAAAGTAAAAACAATTTAGCGAAATGCATATATGTGACACAATAAATAGGTATAAGTATCAGCTAATCTCATCAATGACGGAAATTCCAAGACGATGGGAAAATCAAACAATTATTTTTAATGTTTTTGTCTGGTGCCATAAATAATGGTATTACGAAAAAGAAGTCAACATTAGACATTCGTAAGCCCGCTAATTTGATAGGTAAATTTTGTGAATCGTCACAGTCGCCAAACAAAAGACAGATAGCTGGAATTTGCCACAAAGATTTTGTGATCTATTAAGATTACGATGTTGAAAAAGCTCGAATGATCTGTTTACAGGCATGCTGCCATTGCAGAAGAAGCTAAGCCAAACTCAGAAAATACCGTCAATTTTTTCCCGTTTTTCACGTATTAAGAAGACGAGAATTTTCAAGCAAAATGTTCAATCAAGCCAGACATGATGACATAGAGAGTGGATTTACGTTGGTCCGTACGTCCTGCTAGAAATTATAACTGAACATTTCCAGACGATGTCTAAGTAATTTGGAACAATATATTTGTCGCACTTGCTCAACACATCCTATCATAGATTTAAAAATTTATTCTGAACAAACAAAGACGTTACTAAGTTTATAGTCGAAGTCGGAAGGGTCCTGCCAAGCGAGTATCTAAGGTGCAAAGTATCAAGATTTCCCCCATTCATCATTCCGTTGACATTAGGTGAAACACTTGGTGTTGTCAAAAGGTACTGTGACCATGGGGAACAAAGTTTTTCCGTCATTTACGTATTGCCAAGGTGGCCGGGTTTGCAGACCAAAACCACGTTCTAATTTTTTCATAAAAAAAAATGATTCAATAAAATATTAGTAATAGGACTAACTAACACTACGCCAACATTTCCAAGAAAATTTCAATATTAATTTTACGATTACAAAATGCAATGCTTTCACTGCGCACTGCTTTTGGTTTATTATTTTATTACTACAAAAAAATACTTGTTTTATTGTTATATTATTGCTATGAATAAGCTATTCATACCTATCATTTACATACTTTTGCATGAGTATTCATTTCTAAACCACTCCTCGAAGGATTGCGGTACACTCATTTTGACAAAACGTTTGCAACGACCCGAACGAAGTTTTAGAGATCCTGTAAAGTGTGTGTGTGAATACTCTTTCTCAATAACAAATTTTGAATCGGTGCTTAAAAGTTGGTCCCTCCGTCTAAATTATGTCTATAGTAAGCATTTTGCTGACTTCAAAATTTAGAACATCACCTTCAATTTTACCATAAACATGAGAAGTTATTCCCCGAATGTTGGCGTAGATAATGAGCCAAATAGGCCAAGGGCGTAAAGAGAGGACGCCTCTCTTTATAGCTTTTGCTAATTATCTAATTAATCGTTGGCTAAAATAATGATAAAAATTTTATTATTTGCTCTATTGTGCCACGTCTCAATCTTGTAGAGTAACGTAATTTCGCATTTTTCATTTTTCTCTGTTACAAATTTTTTTAAGTATGTCGCACCCAGCCAAAGACGAATATGACCTTCTCTTTTGCTTCTTACTTCTAATTTATTCTTTCAAAATAACTTTTTTACTCTATATTATCCCCTGGCACTGAGTGAGCTAAGCTTATGCAAATGTATATAACGTAGACACATCTTTTATTATCAATATTGCGTATATGCCTGCGTTTATGTGTTCAACTTCTTCATCGTAAAATTCGAGATATTTCCACGGACCTCTGAAATGTTTTGGCCCAGGAATGCATTCCATTGTCAATGCACTAAATTGCACCACTTGTTGACTATTCACCTTCTTTCGAAAAAAAACTCCTTAAAAGTGGACAGAAATCCCTAATGGTACTGTTTCGGAATATTAAATTGATGTAACAAATTTGGATCGAATAGACCCAATTTTAGAACCTGTTCCCATATAGCTGTCTCTACGAAAGTGAATATATATCTGGCAAGAAAATTTAAATTTCAAAAGTTTTTATGATGAAACCTGGACAAAAAAGTAAGTGCAGAAAATTTGAACTCTTCATTTTATTTTATGGGCCATATCGTACACACACATTCATGTGAATAGGTACACATATATATTTACGTAAGATCAGTGAAATCTAATTTTTACATCTTTAACAGGATAATAAGATCTTTTATAGGAAAATTACGTTTACTAAATTAGGGCAGCCTCAATTTACATCTTCGACCCCATCCCAAAGTCAAAGTGTGCCTATACATAAAACTAAAATACAATTTTTGTTATTCTGACACAAAAATTAAGAATGATATTAGGCGGAGTGCTGAAGGGCATTTAATAGTCAGCGTTACCTATCTATTTAATATCTTTACCTGCAAGAAAATGAAATGAAAAAAATCTCAATGCGTTAAAATCGAATGCATCAAAATGTGCCAGCAATGTTGCTACGAAACTATAAGTACGATCATAATTGAAAAAAATCCATTATAACGACATTCGTTTATAAAATCCATACACAGCGTAGTTAATATTTTTGGTGTACGAGAGAGAGAGAAAAAGAGAGAGATTGCGTCAGTTTCTCTTTCCACATCCAGCGTTCGTAAAGTAAAGATCTGTGCGTATTTTATCCGACTTTTTTGTTTTTTTCTTTTGCTTAAATTTATATATCTGAAGTGTTTTTTACAATAAGAACGCCTTAAGAAGAATGGCCTATACAGTTGAAAGCATCAGTCTCCGATTATTGACTATAAATAATTTTAAAGGTTCACCAATGGTGCAAGTCGACTTATATGTATCACTTCTGGATGAAATTCTCGGTAACAGGAATAAAAATTTTTATGATATTTTTGATGTCTTTGTGCGTAATACGGTCAGCGGTAAAGTCAACGTGGTTGTGGCTCGTATGACAATAAGCAAGCTTATCTCTAAATTGAGACGAATTTCTGATGTACTGGCCATAGATTTATGCCAGATAACGCTTGAAAGACTTCCGAGAAACTATCTATTTGACGAGCATATAGCTGATGTAATTCAGCTTAACGCAAGTATTGTGGAACGACACGGTTTTGCCAAAGAAGCTGCCGTAACTTTGGCAACTTTGCCCTTCGACAAAGCCAGTTCGTATAACACTGTCCCGTTTAGATTTGACATGTATGTCAAAATTGCTAGTCTATTTTTGGAAGCTGATGACGTAGGCCAAGCTGAAGTTTATATAAAGCGCGCTGCTAAGTTAGAATCGAAAATAACTGCACTACAATCAACGATATCGTACAGAATGTATTACGCGCGTATCTTGGAACGCAGACATAAGTTTGTCGAAGCTGCTGAATACTACAAAGACTTATCCTCTATAACACATGTTTCTCTGCCTGTATTGCAAAGAGCTATCGTTTGCACTATCTTATCACCGGTTTGTCAGGAACGCTCGATGCTATTGGCTCAATTACATCAGGACAACCGTATCAAAAATTTGTTAGCTCATGATATAATAGAAAAAATGCATCTTAAAATTGTAGTGAAACGTCCGGAATTGCAAGAATTTGAAACTTTATTGCAAGAACATCATAAGGCTATTATGACAGATGGTATATCAGTTTTCGATCGTGCCATTATCGAACATAACGTAATGGCCTGTGATAAGATATGCGATATAATATCATTTGAAGCTTTGGCTGCTATCTCGGAAACGCCCACTGATGTCACGGAACTCGTTGCATCCAAAATGATAGCTGAGGGACGCTTAGAGGGCCATATCGGAGAATGAATTCAATTAACGCTTGAACATCAATACGGCAATCGTTACAAAACCATCTATGAAATCGCAATAATTAACTAAAATTCAAGCCAAAAAACCGGTAAGACTCAAAATTACGCTTTCACGCTAATTAAAATAAATAAATAGCAGAAATCAAGTCAATGCTCTGATGTGAAATAGAAATTCTTTCATTTTATAATTTTTGTAATAGAATTTTGTAAACGCTTTTTTACATTAATAAACTTCCTTTAAACTTTTATTTAAACTTTATTTATTTAGTATTAAGATTATATACAAAAATAGTTTAATAAATTTAATCACTTAGCAATAAAATCCGGAACACACAAATTTATTTTAACATTCGCTGTTAACATCTTATAAAGGAGCACGACACAATGGACATGTAGGTTTCAATATTAACCACTTGTCCACACATTGGCTATGGAACTCATGATTACATCCCAGTTTACGTACAGTTTGTTTGAACTCAAAATTTTCCAGGCACACTGAGCAAAATGTTTGATTGCTACGACGGATTTCGGAATTGTACGGGTAACTAGATAGCTTCTTTATCTGCACGGATCGCCAATGCTTTCGAGCCCAGTTTAAACATTCCTTGAACGCATTGTTTGCGGAAGATCCGCTCTCATGATCGTTTGTATCGAAAGTTTGCGCAGGAGCGTTTCGTAATAGATACAAAATTTCGTATCTATCGTAACTCATTTTATTGAAACTTATGTTCGTATCTTCCTTCCTGTTCAATATTTAATTATATTCTATTATCGAAATTCGTCTTCTTTTATAATATATGTATATAATATACTTATAAATGCCGTTATATGCATTTCTTTACCGGTTGTATTAATAAATGGGTTTTGTTTGGAAACAAAATTTAATACCTGCCTGGATTTACGTAAATTTAAATCTTTTTTTTTCTATTTTACTGCTTTTGAGAAAATAGATCAATTAAATATGCAAAGTATTCTTTAAACCAAATATAGTGTTTTAAAGCATATTTTATTGAAATGAGTGAGAAAAACTAATCTCTTTCATCCCTTCTTTTTTTACATATTTGCCTGCACAGAACTAAAGAAGTGTACTTAAATCATATTATTCGTTCTACTGCTGGACTAGTAATACGCATTAAATTGTGGTTTCTAGGAAATAGCACTCATATACACAAACTACTATATACTAATAGCTTAGAGAAAATAATTCGTTAAATCACTCTGTAAGTTGTTAAAAAAATTGCTTATTAATGTTTTCGACGTTGAGCTAAATGATTTTTAGAAATATTGGGAAAGTTTTAAAAATTGAATAATTTATTTTTTTTATTTCAATTTTTCCTTTTTATACCCTACAGCACTCATGATTAAGTTTGTGCGAATGTATACACAACATTTAAAAGAATTTGAGATAGACTCACCATTGATTGTATCTCATCGATTCCAAATCACATTCTGAGTTGATTTAAGCTTGTCTGTCCGTCTGTCCGCCCATCTTATTTTCTACTGTTCAACTTACAGATCACAGTTTTTGAGATATTTTCATGAAATTTCGTACAATGACATGTTTTAGCCAAAGGACGAGCCCTATTGAAAATGCGAAGCGCTTTTTCGATCACTTCTCATGAAACGTGTTATTTCGAAAAGTCGTTGAACGAATAACTGTGGTATAGAATGCTTCGAATGGTGTAAGGATACGTTAAGTTTTGCAAATGTACACGTCAACAACATCAAGGACTTGAGATAGAACTCTCTTTAATTATGACAATCGATTCAGAATCACTCTCTGAGTCTATTTAACCTTACAGCCCTTAGTTTTTGAGATATTTTCATGAATTTTGTTTGTTTTGAAAATTCATTTTATGAATATCTGTAAGGGGATATAGCGTATTTAATGAGATGGTGTGACCTACAGTAGTTTTTTTACTTGTTTGAAACCAATAAACGACGTTGATCATCAACCAATTTTACCAGTCTTAGAATAATCAAAGCGTTCCAAGTACCACCTACCTTGGGTTTGCTCTAATTTCCCATTTGTTGCTTTGTTTATAACGAACACTAAATAGTGACATATAATATTTATTATTGCTGGCTTTATTTTCTTTAAGAAAAACAAGAAAAAAAGCTAAAAGAAAAAATGTTAACAGTTTTTTTTTTTTGATGCTTTTATTAAACTTTAGATGCTTGTCAACTTAGACTATGCTCGCGTTTGTAAAGCAGTTGCTTACCTAACAGTAATTTAGATGCTTTTACTTGTTGAAAACTAAACGCACCTTAAAATTGTTTACTTTTATTGCTTATGCTTATTTTAAAATTCAATTTATTTTCAGCGTATCGTGTATCCTTCATTAGTGTTCTATCATATACCACTCCCTCACAAATATTCGGCATAAGGGACAAGTAGGATTCATTTTTAACCACGGATTTAAACAATGGGTGTGAAATTCATGGCGACAAGCAAGTACACGCACGTTGTCATGCAACTCGAAATCATCTAAACATATGGCGCAAGTTGTGTCCCCTTCACGGTCTACATAAGAATTGCGTTTAGTTGTGGATATCTCATTACATCGTTCCAATCGCTTCCTTTTGTAAGAGACTTGTTGAGTTACTCCCCGGAATCTGTGATTTTCTAAGGAGGCATAAAAGTTTTCGGGGTACGCATTAATAGGCGAACTTGCGGCAGTCGTGTTCCTGCTCTCGAATGATGATAAGGGCTCTTGTGCGTTTTCAAATGCCCAATTTTGATAACTACTTGCGTTGCTCATTTCTTCCTGCCGTAGTTGGGCGAAAGAAAAATTCTCAGAAGCTTCACGCGCGTTATTGATTATAGATGAAGATAATTGAAGTTGCCTTCGAACAAGTTCTGCATGTACATTGGTTTCAGGGTCACAAATCACATGGGTTATATTCTCGTTTTCATTAAACGCATTTGCTCTGATTGGACAAATTTCAGAAAAATTATTCAGATGACTAAATACGCGTGAAGCATGCTGCCGCTGCGACGAACGGCCCTGCCTATGTGCAAAATAGGCACTGTTTTCAGGGCCAAAGTTCCGATTATGATCTACATTTCCCATGTAAGAATTCGCACCTATCGAAGGTACATTAATCGAAGAAACCTCGGAAATCCCATTTTCATTATTTGTATTGCCATTACTCCCTCTAGTCCAATTTACATGATTGTACACGTTTACAGTTTCTCTAACGGAATGCCTGTTTAACGAAGAGCAAGGATTGCTAATCAAAGAAATTGGAGAAACTCCATTTTCAGAATCGTATGCGCTTATACTCAACCCCATATCGTCATATTGATCGGCATTGCCGTTCATATGACTGTTTGTACGCATATTTGCGCATGGTAGTCGTGCGTTTCTAGGAGGAAGACTAAACGGGGGATTGTTGTTCGGAAAAATTTCGTAAGAATAATTCGTACCACTCGTTGACGGTAAATTGTCTTCCATATGACCATTGCTTTCGACAATCCCATCAATAAAACCCTGTATGTTCATATTTTCTCTCTGGGAGTTTACAGTTGTCGGCAATATTCCAGGCACCCTATTTACATCATTTTGGTAAGCATGAAGATGATCTCGAGCACGTATGAGCGAACTCTCTTCGTTAATCGTGTTCAAATTTTCAAACACTTGTGTAGCTGGCTGATATCGATTTCGTATTTCTTCCATGTATGTGTTATTTTCGCTGGCATGGTTGATTCTATTATCTATGTTCATATTATAATCGAAGTGATAAGGTGAAACTGAGGATATATTACTTATAGCCCGAGGATCTTCTGTGAATATGTTATTTTGGAGGGACCTGTTTACAGATTGCGCTGTGTTCGTTGAGGCTTGATAATTTCGGCATACATTTTCGGAGGCGAATAAAATGGTTTCGTAGCTCAACTTGATTGCGCAACATGAATTCGCGTTGCCTCTTAGATCTAGAGCCGCGTCTTGCAATACACTGTTGCCAGAAGTAACATTCGGAGAGCCCTCTATAATGGTGTTGCTCGTTAACGAGTGTGTGTTCGTTTGCCGAATTCCGGGAACTGCGTTCTCAAGGCCAGTAAAGATTTGCGCTGATTGGTTAATTGATTCATGTCGGTTTCGAGTTTCTTCTGTGATTCTACTATTTTCGATAGAACGATGCATTCTATTATCTATATTCATATTGTAATACATATGATCACGTAAATGTGAAGATTGGTCACATGTAGCCAAAGAGCCGTTTGTAAATATACCATTTTGACTAGCCCTGGTCGTAGAATCTGCTTTATTTGTATTTTCTATAGACGCATGTGTGATGACTGAAGAAATTACAGGGGAGCTGCTCACATGACGATCCCGGTTAAGATTTTCTTCTGTTAGTGCAATGTTTTCATAATTCAAGTTTATTCGTCGAGGCCCTTCCATTAATGCACTGCCTCTTAGATCTAGAGCCTCCGTTGTTGATGCACTACGTTCAGCAGCAACGTTCATGGAATCCTCTCTATGAACATTGCTTACAAACACGCGGGAACTCACCTGAAAATCTTCAGGAGCCGTGTTCACAAGACCACAAAAGAGAGGATCTAATTGATGTCTGTTTCGAGCTTGTTCTGTAACTGTACTATTTTCGATTCTACGTTTCATTCTATTAACCGTATTCAGATTGCCATACATACAATGACGCGAAAGTGTGGACAGGTCACATGTTACGAATGCACTATTGTCAATTTCTCTGTTTACAGAATCTGCTATATTTGGGTTCTCCGTAAATGTATGTATAATGGCTGAAGAAGTTACAGGGGAGTCGCTGATATGATCAAATAAGGTCGGGGTTGAATGGTCCCGGCCAACATTGTTTTCAAAAGCGAAGTTCACGGAATGTGCCACATTAGCATTGTTCCTATATGAGCGTGCATTTACTCGAGATGCGTCAGGAATTGGATTCACAACACCACGAAAGAATTGAGTCGCTTCCTTTCGGCCCAGATTTTCTTCCGTCAATGCAATGTTTCCA